ATCAACAACATCATCACTAAATACAAATGGTAAATATGTTTCTTACTAAGGTTCCACTAAATATATCATTGAGATATCATTAATTATGATAATGTTTTACATAGTATTAAATAATAGGCCAATATCACCATTTATACAACAGCAACAAAAACGAACATATAAAGAACCAATTTGTCGTCAAGTAAATCTAAAGATAAAAAAGAATACCTATTAAAAAGATATTGTTCTGATGGTGTGTCAAGTACAAAAATATTGTTACATTTTCTCACTTTTGTGAACAAAAACCATTGTAGTGTAAGGGAATTAAAAATAAATAAAATAAATGTCGTTATTTAAATCGAGATATTTACGTAAAAATCTGCAGGTTTTTGAGCCGCAGTCATCTTTGGCAACTCACACACTTAACATCAACACGCGATTTATACTTTCCTTAAAATCCTATTAAAGTTTTTAAAAATGATGCAACCAAACTATAGAACTAATCCAGACACCTGTAAAGAACAGTATTCGAAATTAAGAAATTTCATTGAAAATTCTTTGGATAAATTCAAGGTTCAAAAAGTTCAAAAAGTTTTTTTACAGTATTATTTAGTTATTAAATGTTATAAATCTAATAGACATATATACACACAATTTTATTGTTGCCATTAGGGTGAACTACAAAAAGTCCTTTGGCCTCTTTTTGTACATTTTTATCTTGATGTTGTTTCAAAAGGATTTTTAAATCAAGGTTGGTTGATTTTAGTCTATCTAAAAGATTGCAGTTACTTTTGTTTGTTTGTTGGATCTATTTTCCGCAACCATACCTTTAATTGATTGAATACATATTAGCAATGGATTTTTTCAATATTTATCAGCTGGATCATGAAATACATTTGAGTGAAATAAACAAGATGAAATTTATAACACAACCACAACATATTCAAGAAAATGAATTTGTTCAAAACTTTCGTTCAAAGAAATATACTGTTCCGATGTCTAAAATTTCATACGAGATATTAATTCATTTTTTACAAGACAACACTTTTCTATTAACAATGGTAAATCAATACATTAATATTGAAGGTAATTTGATTGATTGACTAGTTGATTTTTAAGAGACTTACATATAAAAATTTAATTGAAAGTTTATTTATTTCAGTGGTAGAAGATATTGGCCCATCACATACAGATATTGGAATCCCTGGCTTTTCATCACAAGAATTAGAAGATTTTAATAAGCAGGAGCTTCAGTTAGGATTCATGCCAATGGAACCAGCATTTCGTGATGAGGTTGAAAAAAGATTAAAGGAAGGGGATGAACATCTAAGGACTCAGGTTGGAAATGAGGTATAATAATAAGTTAATGGAAAATAGTAAACGGATACATCATATATAATTATATGCCTCCATTCCATATCACTGATTAGATTAATGGTCTTACAAACTCTGCACCTTCACTATATCAAGAATTTTTGAATAAAAAAATCAAAAGAGAACAAACTATTGACTCACTGCCTAGATCATCAATTCCATTACCACCATAGTATGTTTTAATTAATTTGATTGCATGAAATTTATCATCGACTTATATATATAAATAATATTCTGACATGAAAGACATTCAGTAAGGGAGCTGATGTACAAGCACAAGTTGATCTTGTGAGAGATTTGACACATCGAATAAGTTTAGGTCCTGCAAGTCTTCCCTCTGTATGTTTTTATACATTTTATAATACATATAATAGGTATGGATTAATGAATGAATTTTCTTAAAGTATTTTTGCGTGTGCAAATTCCCCAAGATATTTAAAAAAAATTTTTCCAATTAGTCTTAATTGTTTATCCATATCTGAAGATGCAACCCTTATAGCTGGAGGTTTTGCAGAATCTTATGTCAATATATGGAGTTTAAAACGCGAAAAATTAAGAGGATTTCAAGGTCATGTTAATACATCTGAAGTGAATAATTGTAAGTATTTATTAATTATATAGGTTTTTTTAAAAAAACCATTAAACAAATGTACTTATCTTATAGCTAATGAACATTCTTTTTTTTATTTTTTTTTAACAAATTATTACTAATAATAATAATAATAATCATAATCAATAAAGCAGTTGACCTTGAAAATGCTAAAGAAAAAATAGGAAGTGATTACAAGAAACTTTGTGGACATTCTGGTCCGATATTTGGACTAAGTTTTAGTCCAGACAATAAATACTTACTTAGTTGCTCAGAAGATAGCACAGGTAAATTATTTTGAACGTATAATAATGAACAAATTTTTCAATTAATTAAAATCCTTGGTATTTTTTGTTTATAATCATTAAATGATGATGAAAAGCTCGACTTTGGAGTACAGATCTTTATACAAATCTTGTATGTTATAGAGGTCATAACTTACCTATTTGGGACATACAGTTTAGTCCCTATGGGTTCTATTTTGTTACTGCATCTAATGATAGAACTGCTAGACTTTGGAGTTGTGATCATATTTATGCTTTAAGAATTTTTGCTGGACATATATCAGACGTAGACGTAAATAGAGAAAAATAAAATAATGATAATGATAATAATAATACTATTATTCTTGAAAAAAAAAAAAGATTTAATTAATAATATTTTTATTTATTTTAAAAGACTGTTAAATTTCATCCAAATTCAAAATATATCTTTACGGGATCTAATGATAAGTCAATTCGTATGTGGGACGTCAGTAGTGGATCTTGTTTTAGAATTTTTTCTGGTCACACTGGAGGAGTTACATGTTTAGCTGTATCTGACGATGGTCGATTGTTAGCTTCTTCTGGTAATAACTCATTCAATTATCAGTAATAAAATGAACCAAACCAATTAATCAATTTTACTAATTATTTGAATATAGGTGATGATAAATCGGTGATGTTATGGGATATTGGAAGCGGAAAATGTTTTAAAAAATTAATTGGACATACAGAAATTGTTTATTCTTTAGATTTTAGTAAGGAAAGTAGTATTTTAGTTTCTGGTAGTGCAGATAAAACTGTTCGTATTTGGGATGTTCGAAAAAGTGATTCTGTTGATGGTGATCATTCATCATCGTCACCAACGACAACAAAAAATAATGTTGAGGATGTAAACAATATCCCTTTTCTGAATAGAAAACCTAAAGTAACCAATGTAAAAGCATCAAAGTAATAATAATAACAACCTTTTTTTTATATTTACATAATAACTATGGAATGGATTGTAAGATTAATATTTTATTTATTATAGGGATTTATTAACTACATTATATACTAAAAATACACCAGTTTACGAAATTAAATTTACAAGAAGAAATTTATGTCTTGCCACTGGTGCTTATAAGCCAACAGCCGAGGACCAAAAACAAAAAAAAAGTTAAAGTATTTATAGATTTATTATTATTATTATCATTATTAAACATTTTATCCATAAATTTCTTTGATAAATAAATAAATAAAATATATACTATATTAATGTTTTGTTAAAGATCTTAATTCTTTATAAACAACATTATAAATGCTATCAACAAGTTTAATGACATTATTATTACCATCTACATGAATCATCCTACCTTTCATTGGAATCAACCACTTAAAACCTTTTTATCAAAATCTAATCCAATTTAGCTAACACATTCAACCATCTTATTGAAAGTGCTAAATACTGATTTATGAGCAATGTCAATTTATTCTCTGGAATTCTAATACCTAGTGTGATGATTATTGTATACTAAAGAAATTATAAACATTATCTTATGATAGCATAACATTTTATTTATTTTATTATCTTCATTGACCAGCCATGTTTTGCAAAATAAATTGTTACAAGAGTCCTCCAACTACAACAGCAGCATTATTATTTTATTATGGTCATGATAAATCAACACGTCATTTTTAAATTTATTAATAAAATTCATCATTTGCTAATAATATTTAAAAAGCTCTTTCCAAAATATATAATGCTAAAATATATAATTTATTAATTAAAAATTATTATCAACGGTTCAAAATCTTCTGAATAATAAAAAACAACAACAAGATTTATAAATGTATATATACGTTATATACTTATTATTATTTTATTTGATCTCTCTACCAGCTAATTTTCTTCGTTTAGTCATCATTGCTTTAGATTTAGTACCCATAATACCATCACCTCATTGTTTTCTGATATTCACGGTAGCTAACAGTGTTTTCATGAACAACAATTCCCAAATGAGCCTTTCTTTGACAATTACATAAGGAGCTTCCATTTTACGACTAAGGGCTGGTAACCAAAAAACAATCTCAATAGGATCAACATCATGACCAATTTAGGCCTTTTGTTTTCAATCAAAGCAGTAATATGATTGATACCATATTAACAACATATAGTTTTTTAGCTCCAAGCTCCTTTTTTGTGGCTTTGGCAGCACCCAATCCAGTAAGACATTCTTTCTTTTGAATTTTAGTTTCAGGACAATATTTGTTTAGCAATTTAAAAGGATTTCCGACAGTGTTTTTATCCAAGGTTTTGGTGAATTGATTGATAGCTGTGGAACCTTAATATTAAGATGTTGTTTAAGAATTTTACATTGTCTTTGTAGGTGAATAGATTCAGGTCATTTAACAAAACGAGTTAAATCACGTTTAGGTTGAATATCTTGACGTGTGTTATAATAAAATAAAATAAAAATTCTAATAATTAATTAAAAAAAAGGAACAGACCTATTTCAAAATTACGAGGTCTTTCTTTAATAAAGGATTCTTTGCGAATCTTTTTTCGCAGGGTACTACCTTTTTAGAACTTTTAGCCTTTGGCTATTTTATAAATTGGTCATTGAGCAGAACATTTCTGTAAGTCTAAATTTTTGCAATATATATACATACAAGTTTTTTAAAAAGAAAAACAAGCATATTAGTATATCATTTTGACATTGCATGGATGAAATTTTTTGGGAATACTCGAACCGTTACACGAATTCCGAATTAATTAATATGATTGTTTTTCATGTTGCACTATATTTATCAAATCAATGTCAAAAAAGAGTAGTATCAAGAAATTCAAGTTAGTTCATATTGAAAATTCAGACGGTGATCCATCCAAATGGCCTGACACAACTACAAAAAAAATAGTTGATGGTACTCATATAAAAATATTTTATGAATTGGATGAAAATTCCCATGCATATGGTGCTTGGATGGAAATACTTGGTAAAGCCATTGCTAAAGAAATAAAATTGAAAGGTGAGATGAAAAAAATCATTTAAAGTTTTTTTTCCTGTTAATAATTTATATTATTTATTATTCATATTTAGAAAATTTGGTGCTGGAACAAATGCCATATGGATATAAACTATTTGTTCAATACAAATATTCAAAAAGAATAACACCAAAAGAATTACCTATGAGTTGTCGTACCATAAAAGACGGCGAAGAGTGTACAGAAAGAACTGATATATTTGTTTATGGTATATATATGTATATGTATATATGTGTGTGTATATGTATATGTATATGTAATAGTAATAACATATATAATTATACATTTTAAATAATTATTAGGTGATCCTAGAGGTGCTAGATTTAGATCAAAAAACGACTTTGTACCACATTGCGTGTGGCTTTATTTTAATAAAAAAGATAGTTGTAAATGTAATCATTGTGATAAAGAATCCCATGAAAAACGCAAAGAAGCTATAAGAGCAAGTAGATCATTGGTTCGGCTTAGTAAACAACAGATTGATACAAAGGTTCCTAAGAAAGTTAAAAAAATTAATGAAAATATTGACAATAACACATTATCTATTATAAATAATTCAAAATATCAACGTGGAGAGATTATTTGGGTTTCAGATACAACGCTAACATTTAAATTGTCTTCACAGGATCAAAAAGATAATAATAATAATGAGATGGAGGAAATCTTTTGGCCTGGAGTAATTGTTGAAGTTGGACCAAATCTAATTCAAAAAAATTATAATGTTTATTCTACTGGATTTTTAAAGCCATCATCAATCAAAAATCAATTGGATAATTATAGGTATTTGATAAAGCTTTTGATCATAAATAAATGTTACGAGTATCCAACATTTGCTTTATCACCATGGCTCTCAATTGATCACGAAGAATTAGCATTTAAATATTCAAATGAAATTTATTTACCACAATTTTTGAAAGCAATACAAATTGCCTCTAATGTTCAAAAACATTATATAATGGGATCAGTTTATAATTACATTGTTAATCATAAAGAAATAAATTCAATTAAAGATCCTATTCAAAAACAACGAATTATTAATGCAAAAAATTATCCACACTATAGTGAGCTATGGTTTGGAACTGAAAAAATCAAAATTTATGATTTTTTAAGATTGACCATGGATGATGATGATAGTGATGATTCAAAAAAGGAATATTTTAGAATTACATCAATTTATAGGTTGCCAGATAAACGGATTCAATTCACAGGAGATATTTATACACTTAAAAATTCAGATATGATAAATGATGATGATGATGATGATGATGATATAGCTAATATAGTTAAAATTAAAAATAAAATGCACAGAAATTTAAAAATTAGAGATGATGAATATATATCAAAGAATTATATTCAGGAAGAGTACACTGTTGATTTAGAGGATATTGCTGGGCGGTTTTATCCAAATATGGATTTATTCAATAAAAAAATGAATGTCAAAGAAGAGAAGACTTCAAGAGAGGAATTATTTGATCTAGCAATTGATCAATTTGTTGATAATGAATCTTCTTCTTCTTCTTCAAGTAAAATAGATAATAAATGTTTTGTGGATAATGTTTTGTCTAATAAACAATCAGTGGCATCAACTGATGCTGCTCAGATTTATAAAAGTGAGGATGATGAAGATGCCACTATAACTGATGATGATAATAACAGTACAAATGATAAAACTGTTATAAAGGAGTCACTACAAGAATGTCAAAGTTATAAATCAGAAGAAAATGAGATGATTATTGATAATTGATTCTATAGATGTATGTGTCTAAATAATTTTATAAGTTTAGATAATAAAATTTTTCATTTATTTATTCTTTCTCTTAATAATATAAATGATATAAAACAGTTTCCAAAAAAAATTCTTATGATAATAAACGTGATGGATGATAAATAATTTTAGAAATATATTTTTATTATTTTTATTGATATAAAAAGAAATTTGATCTGATGATTTTTAAATTTCAATAGATCTTTTTAAAAAAAGATGTATAAATCATATTTAAACAAAAACTTTTATTCAAAATTAAAATATCATTTAAACTCGAAACTTAATTATCATTCTGTTCGTTTATTTTAATTAACTGAATATATATTATTATGATGTTATCACTAACATATTTTAACTTTCGAATAATAAAAGAAATCAACTCAAAAATGTTTATCAAAAATTTTTATGCCAACCATTAAAGAAACTTCCAAGTCACATAGTAAAGAAGAGGAAAGTTTGACTAGCTCTTCAGGAGAGAGTTATCGTTTAATGACTCGAGCTGGTTTTATTAGACAAGTATACTTTCATGTTCAAATTAGTATCAATTAATGTATCAATAATGAACAAAATAAACATTCTTAAATGTATTATTAGTCGTCTTCAGGTATTTATACCTTATTACCATTAGCATTGCGTTCACTTGAAAAAATAGAGAGAATCATTGACATTGAGCTAGAGAATATTGGTATGAGAACAAAAATATTGGATCTTTGATATGAAGAATATATTATGAATTTTATCCTGATTAGTGTATTTTCCTTTATAAGGAGCGCAAAAGTTATCCCTTCCTATTTTGCTTAGTTCTAATGGATGGAAGAAGACACAAAGATGGGAGTCTTCTGGAGAAGAGGTTAAAAATATTTGATTAATTAACTAATACCACCTATATTTACATATTTCAAATTTATGTAACATTTTATTTATGATAAAAAATACAAGTTATTTCGTCTTAAAGATAGAAAAAAATCTGAATTTTGCCTGGCACCAACACATGAAGAAGAAATTACTCAATTAATTGCCAATGAAATAACTTCGTATAGACAACTTCCATTGCGATTATACCAAATTGGTAATAAAAGTAATTTTTAATTTAAAAAGATTTTCTTTTTAAATAATTTTCTTGTTTTATTATTATAGGAAGAAAATATCGTGATGAAATGCGTCCTCGATTAGGATTACTTCGAGGACGAGAATTTATAATGAAAGATTTATATACTTTTGATACTACTGAGGAACTGGCTTTGCAAACTTATCAAGAAGTTATATTGGCATATAAGAAAATATTTGAAAAAATAGGAATCCCATTTTCTATTGTAAGTATTGAATAATATCTAATTATATGCCAATACATCATCCATATAAATAATCTGTTATGACTTTTTATTACAAATAATTTTAGGCCAAAGCAGATTCTGGTAATATCGGAGGATCCCTATCACATGAATTTCATTTTTTGTCCGAAGGTAAATATTTAAGCATGAATATTAAATAATAATAAAAAATATGTATTTATTTTTTATTTTTTTATTTTTTTATAGTTGGTGAAGATTTTATTTTGTCATGTTCAAAATGTGGATATAATGAAAATGTTGATATTAATAATAACTTTAAAGAAAATATTAATATGTTGCCAAATATTCGTCATGAGGGTCATCATAATACTTCAATAGGTGGTGGTTGTCCTGTATGTGCAAAAGGAGATGAAAATAATTTTGTTCCACTTACTGTTCATCGAGCAATTGAAGTTGGGCATTCTTTTTTCCTAGGAACAAAATATTCTGAACCTTTAAAAGCAACTTTTGCCCCCCAAAATCCCAAAGTACCAGGTGAATTGTTACCAATTCAAATGGGATGTTATGGATTGGGAACTTCTAGAATGCTTGCAGCAATTATTGAGGCATCACATGATAAAAATGGAATAATATGGCCTATTTCAGTCGCGCCTTATAGAGTATGTATTATTCCGGGATCTGATGAACCCTCAATACAAAGTACAACATCAGAGCTGTATGATATTTTAAATTGTAAATTTGAAATATTAAAAGATGAAATTGTAATTGATGATCGAACAAATTTGTCTTTGGGTTATCGTATGAAAGATGCAGAACTTATTGGATATCCTTGGATTATGGTATTAGGAAAAAAATTTTTAGAAAATGGGAAAATTGAAATACAAGTAAGACAAAGCAAAGCAAAAAATTATTTGAGTGTTCAAGATTTAGATAAAATCCAATTCCAATGATAATATTTTATTCGTTCTTTTCATTAAAAACTATATATTAGTAATAAATTGTTAGTTGATGATTATTTATCAAATTGATAATGGTAATAGATAATTAATAATATAATAATAATACACAAGTTTGGTAAGATTATACAAGATTTTCTTTTCCCTAATACTAATTTAAATTTAGAAAAGATGTTTCCGTAATTTCCTTTAATAATTCCCATATGAGCAAAATAGTTTTGATCCGAGTCTCCATGTTCCCAGTATTTTCATTTTCTAATGACATTGTCCTTAGCCTAGAAAAAAAAACAAAACGACGAATGATTACCGCTCATAATCTAAATAATTATATATAAAATTTCAATAAACAAATAAAAAAATATGGCCAGGTTCAAGCAACCTTGACTCATGTTGCTATTAAATTTCACGGCTTCATGGTCTATTGCAACTAAATTTACTAATGAATTAGATTAAATTATGATACTCAACGTTCATCAACAAGATATTGTACTTATTGTAGTGCCTGATCGGTTGCGGATATATAAATCAGGACTTAATAAGGAAGTTTCTCTTTCGCCAAAGCTCATTAACACAAAGCTTTCTAAATTTCGTTGAGAAATTTTTTGGTGGCAAACTTGATACGGTGCAGATCATTTATAATCATTAATTGCATAGTCAACTTCAAAATACCAAAACAAAAAAATCATGTCATTTTAAAAAATTTAACCGATAAGTTTTATTGTTCATGACTCAAGCTTCAAAACTTATCGGCTGATTTTTTTTTAAACTGAAAATTGGCAGAGCTTAGCATTTTGAAAATTCCGAATTTTGTTATACACTTAAGAAATTGAGACTAAGTGGCAGAAAATTTAATACATTATCACTTTTTTCACAATATGGTCTATTTCTATTGAAAGGCCCTCACATATTTACATATTCAGTCTGATGGGTGTTTTATAATAATAAGCATCCGAAATTCTGGTCCGTAGACACCTTGGGATCAAGATGTTAATGCTCCCATAATGTTATAAATTTTTGCACATGAACACTTGTAATGGAAAGAGATCTGAACCATTCATTTAGTGGTAGCAGCACTTCCACAAAACCTCCTCAATTTTAATTTTCTTTTCCTGATTTAGTGTAGCAAGTCATGGGTTACACTTGTTAATATTAATATTAAAAAATCGAAATATTTAGTTTTTTAATTTCCCGTCCTTAACAAATAAAGTTTTCTCTTTATTTTCCCTATATTGATAAATTTAATTGAACATGTCAACAGAAGGAAGAAAGATTTCATCAAAGGTTAATAATTAGATCAATTATTTCATTTAATTGTTTTTTATAAGTTCTAAAATCAAAAGTTGATTGTTTTTATCCTATAGCTTGACGATAAACGTTTATACATTGGAAATCTTGATCCTTCAATAGACGAGTGAGTCAACAAATAATATTCATTTGTCTCTTTTTTTTATATAATAATTATATATTTTTTGTTAAAATATATATAGGTATGCATTGGTTAAACTATTTGAACCTTTTGGAAAGATAACAAATTTAGATTTTCTTTTTCATAAAAATGGACCTAAACGTGGTCTACCAAGAGGTTATTGTTTTTTAGAGTACAATAAGAAAGAGGTATTGATTTTTCTAAATGAAAACTTTTTATGATTTATTAAACCATTATAATAAAATTGACTGTGTAAAAAAAATCTAGGAAGCGTTAAAAGCAATGACAGAAATGCACTCAAAATTAATAAAGAATCGATCAATAACTGTAACATTTGCTTATGCTGCACCTGAAAGTTATTATGATAGTAAAACAGGTACAATGAAGAAAAGATCAAATATAACTACAATTTCATTGATAAAGGCACATAAAATGCTTAATGCTAGGTAGGCAATGATTTTTTTTACAAAATTTATTTATTTATTTATTTATTAAATTTGAATAATCTTGATAAAAATATATAATAAAAGTACGGACGCAAAAATAGTTGCATTAGAGAAGAAATTGGCACAAATGAAACAACAATCTTTACCTCAACAGAGACAGCTACAACAACAAAAACTACAATTATCATCGTCATCGTCATCATCACCACTATCATTGTTGCCATCTAAACCCTCATCTACAAATATATCGAAAGAATCAACAATAATAAAATCAATATCGTCTTCAACACGTTCATCAACCTCCAAGGTCTCCAATGAACTTAGATACAAACCTTATTAAAAAAAGTTTTTATTATTGGTATTAATTTATTTATAGAATATTATTAATACTAATTTACAATAAAACTATTATAAAATTTAGATAATTATACTTGAAAAAAAAAGTTTTTAACTATTATTTGTAAAAATTTGCTTTTAGGATTTCAATTTTTCAAATATAAAAGAAATTCATTCTTTTTACAACATGCAATTATGTATATATTCTTGTGGATACTACGAGTTTATCCTAGAATTTTCAAAATCATCATCAACACCAATAACATTATTCAATAAATGAATATGCAAATATTCCAGTTCTTTTTGTGAGTTTTGCTGAAGGCAAGTATATAGTGTAGTATAATAGACAATACAGAAGATAGAGTCTATTACATTGAAGGTTCTTCATTATCATATATATATATATATATCTGTTAGAAAAAAAAATACGAAAGTAAGGATGTTGTTAAAAGTTTGATTAAAATTGCCTTTTCTAATCAATAATGAATAATATATATAGCATACATTTTTTTGCAATATCAAATTTTTATCAATTATAATTAATAAAAATCAAATAAAAGAAAGATAATTAAAATGATTACATATATATGTATATATATAAAATTTTTTAAGAAAAACCCAAAGCCAAGATATTAATAAAAAAATATTATATTAAAGCATCAACTTGAAATGTCTTTCTTTTCTATATATATATAACTTGATAAGTAAATATGAGAAGATGATTGATAAGTTTGTCCATAAATATTTGAAATAACATCAACATTGATTTTCCTTGTTCTAATCAATGTAGATGCTTCTTCAGTGATTAAAATTAGGATCAATTATTTTTTTGGTCCATTTTTAATAATTGGATTCGATGACTTATGGTTCTTGCTTGTGATATTGCTTCTATATTTTTAGCTCACTATTTTTTCTAAATCATTTCCTCTTTAATAGGCGATGGTTGATTAGATTTCATCGCAGAAGAAGAAGCTGTTAAGAATGATGGTGATGATGATGATAATTTATTATCTAAACTATCATGAGGTCTTTTTCTAGATCCTGATTTTTTTTAAAGCATCAAGAGGATTTGGTAATGGATGATAAGTCGTAATCCTTCCCATAATTTTATCAATAGTGTTTAGTGACGGTTGAGCACTTGGGTTTTATACTTGAATATATTGTTTGATCTTTTATATATATTAACTAATAAAAGGCCACCTTATCCAATATAGTAAATATTTTATTTACACGTTTTTCAGGTGTATCTGGTAATCTTACCATACCCTCGACCATTTTATAAACAGACTTAACAACTTTTGACATTTCTTCATATGTTATATATCCATCACTATCAAGATCATATATTTTAAATGCCCCTATGTAATTTATTATATATAGTGATATCATTAGATGAATATTGTACAAATGAATTCTTAAAAAAAATAAGTTATACACTCCCTTTCGGTCACTATAAAACAATTAATTTCACAAAAATGTATATAATGAAAATATAAATAATTTTTATCAATCATAATTAAGGTTTCAAAAAGTATGTTCAAATGAATGATAATAATCGATGACGGAAAAAAATAAAGATTTAAAATAATTTTTTGTACGATTGATACGAGAATAAGTATTTAATCATGTAAGTTCCTTATGGTTTTAGTTGAAGTTGTTCTGTATTTTCATTTAAACAATTTTCTTCAACTCATTCTGATGGTCAACACTCAAATGTTTGGGCGTCCACTTCTTGGTAACTCTTTAACACTATCTCTCCTGGAAGTTTTAATTGTTTTAGTTACAGTGTTCTTGCAATTTTAAGTGTTTTAGGAATATGTGGAATAGTACCACCCCTTTGTAAAGTTCAATTATCTGTCCATATTCAGATTCTGCTAAATTTGAAAATTTCAAAAACTTCAAAACAATTTTTTAAAATATTAAAATTGTATAAAAACATCTAATCTTTCATATGTCAAAATTCAACCGATTTTTTTTTGGCAAACTATGATTTTCAGAAGATTTTTGATCGAACTTTTTATTTTTTTTAAATGTTATTCTCCTAGATGTTATAAAAACTTGAAAATTCGCATACATATTTTTAGAACCTTAATTCGTGATCCTTTTAAGAAGGAAAGAATTTTGATAGTGAGCATTTGCAACATTTTATATATACTCGGTGTATGAATTTCAGTGTGTAACTAATAACTAATGCAGACTTCTACAATTTTAGAAACTATCTGCAGAAAACTACTAATGTACGATGTTACACCCGCACATTCCGCACATTGAATTGTGCTATTACTATGATGTAATTATTAATAAATTAGACTATTTTGTGGAATTAACATAAAAAAGGGGTTGTTGAAATTCATTAAATATAATGAACCATATCAATACATTTCCACCTATTACTATTACTATTATATCATTTTTAAACAAGTTATCTAGAATGTCAACTCGCGCTTTAAAGAAATTAGTAAAAAAATTTGCTAAGAAGTCATCTTCTACAAGTGAGATTATTTGCAAGCATTTCTTTTATTATAACCTTTGCCATTTTAGGACTACAATATGATTTGTTTGTTTGTCTTGACAGATGACCCTATGGAAAACTTTAACGAAGATTCTAAAAAAATTCTCCATCAATGGGCAAAAATGGTACGAGCAAAACACAAGAATGATAAAAATTACGATGATGATGATTTATATTATGAGGACCCATTGCTTTTGATTGAATGGAACAATGCAGGTTTAAATAGCAGAACACTTGCTAATCCTCAACACACAAAAATGGCTTTAGTTAATTGTATATATATAACCATAAATATTACATTATTGATTATTTTTTGAAGATTCTTTCTAAAATTTTTTTTTGATTAGTGATTCGAGGACAACCGGGTTATTTACAATTCCCACCGACAGGCATTCCATCAGAATGCTCATTTTCTTTTGTAAATACTCCAGCACTCCCAGCAACTCAAGCATTAGCCGACACGATTGGAGTGCTTGACATCAACAATTGGTCTAGACATGCCCCTGGAATTCCGGATGTTGGCCGGGTTTATGACATCAGTGTCCCTAGAAAAGGGGAATTGGCTATTATTGAACGTCGGCATGTGTTCAATCTTTGACTATTATGGGAGTAAATTTTAAAAATTGTTGATTTAGAAAAAAATATTTTGCTTCGTTTTTTTTTTATTGAAATTTTTCAGAAAAATATTTAGTTTTAATTAAAGATGCTAAAATTAAAATAATATAATCAAAAGTAATAAATTTTATTGCTAAAGTATGAATCTACGTATATATTCCGGATATACTCATTTGGATAATTAATTTTTGATTTGAAAGAATAAGTAGGTTAATAGATAATCACAATCTACTTATCGATATATGTATTAGTATTATCAATACGGCCATGGCAATTACCTGAAAAACCAGAAACCCCAGAACTAATAACTTTACCTCGATTTTGAACCTGTTCCTATAAAAATATAACTTGTCCGCCGAATCTAACCCATCAATTACGTGACTATGCTAGTGAACTCGGTGCTATGCTTCCAGATTGGAAAGCCCACAAAAGCGTAAAAGAAGCTCTTCGCCGACGCTTATTCAAAGAAGATCAGACCAAGGCTCTTTGTAAACATTCAAATAATTATCACAATTTTACAAACGTTTAGATATTTATTTAACACTGTTAATGAACTGATAATTTTATTGTTGTAAAATTATAATTATAAAAAAGTTATCTTTATTTGTTTGAATTTTACATCTTTAATTCGCAATTCGTGATAAACAGAAAGGATCGACATACATTTTAATAGTAAAATGCGGGGATAATAAACATAATAAAATTACTTAGTAAAAATAATATTGAGCTGATTTTAATTTTTAAAAATTTTAAAATG